CAACACAGTCACCTACAGTAATGCTGTTGAATAACAACAGTATTGTTTTGTGTCTGAACGGAAAACCCATCCAGAAACAACTCTTTTGTTTTATAACAACTCCGTTGTCAAGTAACAATAATGTACTCGTGATTCAAAACAGTTGTGCTGTCTTTGAACAGGTTTTCTGTTTAGAAACAGACTTAGTGCAACCTTAAAACATACATTGTTGTCAGGTTACAAGGGTCTTGTTTAATAACAGCACGATAAGATCAACACAAATGTTGCAAAGACTTTCCGAAACTCCAAAAAGTATTGTTTTATTAAATCGAACTATCAGAAAACCCCGAGGGCGACAACATGCTTGTTATATAACAACACGTGTTACTATCAAACTTAACAGCATAAGTGCTGTTAATTTACAACCCTTATTGGCGAGCGATAGCGAGCCCATGCCGTGTTTGGGGGTACCAAAAAGTGACTGGTCGTGCGTCTGTCTGTCTGTCTGTCTGTGTGTCCGTAACTCACTCACGTTTCTCAGCAACTACCGCACAAATAGTTTCAAAATTTCGCACCGGAAGGCTCCTAAATCTCCCCCAGGGGGAGTTTATCTTATATTCACGATTACTATTGTTTGAAATATTCAAAACATCTTTTTGAATTAGGTTCTTAGCGTGGTTAGGTTGGCAGTGGTTGGCAGCTCGTAGCAATTTTTCATACTTGCGGCCGCGACTCTCAAATACGGGACCGGGCAAAACATTGGCAAATAAAACAAACTAAAGAGCAGAAGGGCTTAGAAGTGAGTACGGTCATAGTTTTTCGATATTTTAGAATGATTGAAACCCCTCCGGAGATAAACTCAGTGAAATAGGGAAAATGAAAGTGACAATTATTACGCGTTTCGTCCGTCCGTCCCCCTCCCCCCTCCCCAGCTACAGGGGAAATGTTTTAGTCAGTGGAGTGTTTTGATAATTGCAAGAATGATTTGGTTTTTTTAAACCCTTTTTTGAGTGTATTCCCATTTATATTCTCAGACACTATTTTTTCAGTTGTTTGCTTTGCTCAAAACAGTTAAAAATATATTAATACATTCTATGAGTACAAACCAGATGCTAATCTTGCCAAATAAATAGCCTTTGCTGACTCTTGGCACTGATTCTGGGAAAAGGCTTCATTGCAATGCTGTGATTTTTACTATAGTACTAACCTTAAAGAAAACCATATGATGAGTGAGTGTAGCGCATTAAAGGGTTTGACATTGACATCAGATTCAATGAGACGATTCACTGACTTGGTCATATGATTTCATGAGACGATTCTTTTAACTTAATCATACTTGTCTGCGACAACTGGTAATTTGTGTTGGTCATGGTTTGAGTTTGTTTTTTTTTTTTAATTTACTCAAAATGTTAGGTAAATACTTTTGCTAAACTGTTTCAAAGTTTTAAATAACACACCATGACTATCATTATAATAAGATAAACTTGCTTTTAGCAATAAGTGGCCTCGACATTGGATTCTATGACACGATTCATTGGATCTGACAGAAGGTCTTCTCCGTAAAGTAGTTGAAATCACCCTGCCTGTAAATATGTCTCTTTTTAATTAATGCAGATAAATCAATATAGTTAAATCCACTAGTTTAAACTAAAGGGAGAAAGGCTATTTAGGTATTACTAATAACATTGCGTATTCATAAGTTCAGTAACAAGGAGATATCAAATGGTAATTGAAGTATTTGTGAATCGTATTAAGCAATTCAATGCTGGCTGTTAAATGTTACTCGACTGAGTAACAGGGTCAGGGGTTTGTGGCATGACACTATGAACAGGAAACGCTCTTAAAAACCTAACAACTGAAGACCCATACTTTCAACTAGAATTACATGATTTGCGACCAAAATTTCCTCGGTGTTTCATTGCTTTCCCGCAGTATTTGGTGTGCTGATCACAAAAATGACTTCCAATGTCATCCCAGACCTTTACTTTTCCAAATATTTACCAATTTTTGGGCCAAAATTTTTACATCGAGTTTTACATAGTTTCCTGCAGTTTTTTTGGGGTGCTGATCACGAAAATGACTTCCAATTTCATCTCAGACCTTTACTTTTCCAAATATTTACCAATTTTGGACCAAAATTTTTACATCGAGTTTTTCATAGTTTCCTGCAGTTTTTGGTGTGCTGATCACGAAAAAAGACTTCCAATTTCATCTCAGACCTTTACTTTTCCAAATATTGACCAATTTTGGACCAAAATTTTTACATCGAGTTTTACATAGTTTCCTGCAGTTTTTTTGGGGCGCTGATCACGAAAATGACTTCCAATTTTCTCAACCTTTACCCCTTTTTCCCAAAAATTTACCAATTTCGGACCAAAATTTTTACATCGAGTTTTACATAGTTTCCTGCAGTTTTTGGTGTGCTGATCACGAAAAAGACTTCCAATTTCATCCCAGACCTTTACTTTCCCCAAAAATTTTCCAATTTGTGACCAAACTTTTAAAAATTTATTTCACATTGACCCTGTATTGGCCTTACTTTGCATATATTCTTCACCATCTTCTACAAGAATACAGACGCATCGCTCGCCTACTACGCGCCCAAACAAAACGGCGCGTACCCCTAGTTTTAACAGTGCGGGTCGTCGGCTATATTGTTCGAACCTTCGGCTTTCAGTAGAGTCTTCAACTCAAAAGGCCACATGGTGTAGGATGTACTATCGGTCAACAAAGTGATAGAAGAGGTGTTACCTGGTTTCATTATTTGTGGATCTCCCTGATATGATTTTTGTTGTAGATTTTTACTTTCAGCTTTTTATTTATTGCAGTGGAGAAACGTGATAGCATAACCTATAAACATATTGTTTTCGGGGTGCAACTTTTATAAGATCTGTTTACCCCCTAGTATTCACCCTTCTTTTTATTTTCTTACCCCCCAACCCTTCTATTTTTGGTTCGAGGTTTAAGTTATGTGGTGGTCCTTTTTGGCTCTCCAACTTCCGTTAATAGTTATATTTCCCGAGCATTTTTTTTTAAAGATGATTTAATTTGGGAAATTCTCCTTGCAGAATTCTAGTGCAGAAAAAGTCCTCAAATTGGTTAAAGCCCCTTTGAAAAGTTGTGAAGAAAGATGTTGGCGCAGCTGGTCTAGCAATGAGATAGACAGGGATCTTTAATTTGTTGTTATAAAGCTGTGGGGTTTATCAATCAACAGATTTATTCAAATCACTAGTAGTATTCCAACACAGTTATATTTTAATTTCTCACAGAATGTTTGTTAGATTAGCATAATATTCTGTAATCATTATGTACCGTTCTCTGGATGGGCCCTCTATACGTGTAAATTAAAATTTGTGATGGTACCAGTTATTACTTGTTTTCACTTGTGGCACCACTTTGTTCTTGTTCCTGATGGTTTAAATGGTGGGTACTTCATGTCAACCTCATCAATTAACTCTTGAGCATTGTGTATGTGTTTACAGCGAATGTGTTTTTTATCCTTCCTACCTTGTATTGTTTGCATTCCTGGTTGCATTGTGTGCAGAAAAAAGATATATCCTGTAATCCGACTTAAGGTTGTGATGGTGTTTTTATTAATTTTTTTTTTTCGTGCTTTCATTTTTGATGTTTTCTGTGTTTTCTTTTTGTGGCGGTGGCGTAGGTGGTGGTGCTGCAGGACGCCTTCAAGGCGCTCCTTTTCGAGAAGGGCTTTAATTAGCCTTCTGAAGTATGTCCAAGCTTCTCGGACTAGTGAGTGAACCTTTTCGGATCTTTTTTTAAATAATCAAATGGAAAGCCTGTAACAAAGTGATTTTTGTTAGTTTCACAAGTATAAAAGTAAATAATAATAAATAGGGCGAATTTTATCATTTCCTTTACAATGGGGTTTAGGTCAGTTTCTTCGACCCAGGAGGGCCAAATGTGTGTAAGCTTTTTTAAAGAATTTTTTAAAACACCCCCTGTATTGATCAGTCCAGACAACTTTACCTTCTGCTGCCGTGTGAAGCTTTCTAAGGCCCAAAACTGAGGCGAAGCACACAAAAGAAAAAATACATTGTTAGAAAGGTTTCATAAAATGAAGATTTACACAAGTGAATGATTCTCACTATGTCACCGGAGTGTGGTCCGCATTTTCAATAATTTTGCACAAAGCGTCTCTTGAAACTGTACAACCTATGTCTTTAGATAATAATGATAAAAGGCCAATGATTAAGATCTCGTGTCTTGCAGCTCAGACTTCTCGCCACTCAGGAGGGGAGACAAAAAACCTCGCCAAGTTTTGGGCAGACCCGAAAGTCGCCAAAAATTTTTTTTGGCAAAGAAGTCTCGCCACAAAATGGCCAGA